CAGCAGCGAGTCATGGTACGTGGCGAGGTGTCAGAGTGGGCACCTGTGACCAGCGGGGTCCCGCAGGGGTCAGTCCTAGGACCAGTGCTGTTTCTGGTATTTGTCAACGACATGACGGAAGGAATAGACTCTGAGGTGTCCCTGTTTGCAGATGACGTGAAGTTGATGAGAAGAATACACTCGATCGAAGACCAGGCAGAACTACAAAGGGATCTGGACAGGCTGCAGACCTGGTCCAGTAATTGGCTCCTGGAGTTCAATCCCACCAAGTGCAAAGTCATGAAGATTGGGGAAGGCAAAGAAGGCCGCAGACGGAGTACAGTCTAGGGGGTCAGAGACTACAAACCTCACTCAAGGAAAAAGATCTTGGGGTGAGTATAACACCAGGCACATCTCCTGAAGCGCACATCAACCAAATAACTGCTGCAGCATATGGGCGCCTAGCAAACCTCAGAACAGCATTCCGACATCTTAATAAGGAATCGTTCAGGACCCTGTACACCGTATACGTTAGGCCCATATTGGAGTATGCGGCACCAGTTTGGAACCCACACCTAGCCAAGCACGTAAAGAAACTAGAGAAAGTGCAAAGGTTTGCAACAAGACTAGTCCCAGAGCTAAGAGGTATGTCCTACGAGGAGAGGTTAAGGGAAATCAACCTGACGACACTGGAGGACAGGAGAGATAGGGGGGACATGATAACGACATACAAAATACTGAGAGGAATTGACAAGGTGGACAAAGACAGGATGTTCCAGAGATTGGACACAGTAACAAGGGGACTCAGTTGGAAGCTGAAGACACAGATGAATCACAGGGATGTTAGGAAGTATTTCTTCAGCCACAGAGTAGTCAGTAAGTGGAATAGTTTGGGAAGCGATGTAGTGGAGGCAGGATCCATACATAGCTTTAAGCAGAGGTATGATAAAGCTCACGGCTCAGGGAGAGTGACCTAGTAGCGATCAGTGAAGAGGCGGGGCCAGGAGCTCGGACTCGACCCCCGCAACCTCAACTAGGTGAGTACAACTAGGTGAGTACACACACACACACACACACACATACGCACACACACACACATACACATACACACACATTCGCACACACACACATACACACACACACACACACACACACACACACACACACACACACACACACACACACACACACACACACACACACACAGGTGGACAGAGACAGAATGTTCCAGGGATGGGACACAGCAACAAGGAGTCACAGTTGGAAGTTGAAGACACAGATGAATCACAGGGATGTTAGGAAGTATTTCTTCAGAGTTGTCAGGAAGTGCAATAGTCTGGGAAGTGATATAGTGGAGGCATGATCCATACATAGCTTTGAGAAGAGGTATGATAAAGCACATGGAGCGTTAAGAGTGAAGATCAGTGAAGAGGCGGGGCCAGGAACTATGACTCGACCCCTGCAACCACAACTAGGTGAGTACACACACACACACATACACCTAAACTATCGACAAGTACCTTTGACAATCAGTAACTAACACAATAAGCCAAGTATCAAGTAATAACATTATCATCTCAAAGAAATTCTTTAATATATATATATATATATATATATATATATATATATATATATATATATATATATATATATATATATATATTATATATGCAATAAGATCACAGTAAACAGGTGATTTCAAAATATGCAAAACAACCACTCTGAAAGAACAGAGAAATTCATATAGTTCCTTGATAATGTGAGTAGTCACGAAAGCGCTTGGAATTTCTCTATTCTTTCAGAGTGGTTGTTTTGCATATATATATATATACATGTTGTAAAGAGTTTTTATGAGGATAGTGAGGCTCAGGTTAGGGTGTGTAGAAGAGAGGGAGAATACTTCCCGGTAAAAGTAGGTCTTAGACAGGGATGTGTAATGTCACCATGGTTGTTTAATATATTTATTGATGGGGTTGTAAAAGAAGTAAATGCTAGGGTATTCGGGAGAGGGGTGGGATTAAATTATGGGGAATTAAATACAAAATGGTAAGTGACACAGTTAGTTATTGCTGATGATACTGTGCTTATGGGAGATTCTGAAGAAAAATTGCAAAGGTTAGTGGATGAGTTTGAGAATGTGTGTAAAGGTAGAAAGTTGAAAGTGAACATAGAAAAGAGTAAGGTGATGAGGGTATCAAATGATTTAGATAAAGAAAAATTGGATATCAAATTGGGGAGGAGGAGTATGGAAGAAGTGAATGTTTTCAGATACTTGGGAGTTGACGTGTCGGCGGATGGATTTATGAAGGATGAGGTTAATCATAGAATTGATGAGGGAAAAAATGTGAGTGGTGCGTTGAGGTATATGTGGAGTCAAAAAACGTTATCTATGGAGACAAAGAAGGGAATGTAAGAAAATATAGTAGTACCAAGACTCTTATATGGGTGTGAAGCTTGGGTTGTGAATGCAGCAGCGAGGAGGCGGTTGGAGGCAGTGGAGATGTCCTGTTTAAGGGCAATGTGTGGTGTAAATATTATGCAGAAAATTCGGAGTGTGGAAATTAGGAGAAGGTGTGGAGTTAATAAAAGTATTAGTCAGAGGGCAGAAGAGGGGTTGTTGAGGTGGTTTGGTCATTTAGAGAGAATGGATCAAAGTAGAATGACATGGAAAGCATATAAATCTATAGGGGAAGGAAGGCGGGGTAGGGGTCGTTATCGAAAAATTTGGAGGGAGGGGGTAAAGGAGGTGTTGTGGGCGAGGGGTTTGGACTTCCAGAAAGCTTGCGTGAGCGTGTTAGATAGGAGTGAATGGAGACAATTGGTATTTGGGACCTGACGAGCTGTTGGAGTGTGAGCAGGGTAATATTTAGTGAAGGGATTCAGGGAAACCGGTTATTTTATATAACCGGACTTGAGTCCTGGAAATGGGAAGTACAATGCCTGCACTCTAAAGGAGGGGTTTGGAATATTGGCAGTTTGGAGGTATATATTGTGTATTTTTATACGTATATGTTTCTAAACTGTTGTATTCTGAGAACCTCTGCAAAAGCAGTGATTATGTGTGAGTGAGGTGAAAGTGTTGAATGATGATGAAAGTATTTTCTTTTTTGGGATTTTCTTTCTTTTTTGGGTCACCCTGCCTAGGTGGGAGACGGCCGACTTGTTGAAAAAAAAAGAAATATATATATATATATATATATATATATATATATATATATATATATATATATATATATATATATATATATATATATATATATATATATATGTAAAATTGGTCAATTAGCAAGAAATCATTTAAAATTATGTCTTTTCTAAAATTTTCTCTTAATTGTTGAAAGATATATTTTTTCATTTATGTTAATGTAAAACTTATTAATTTTGTACCACGAGAAATTAGAAAACTTACCTAACCTTATTATAATAAACGCAATTTAATTTAGCCTAATCGAACTAAATATATTTTAAATAAGTTTACAATAATTTAATAATAAACAAACACAATGAAATATATTTTTTATCGTTTGGTTCAAAATGATTATGGCGAAATTATTGCATACACAAATTTTCGCTTGTCTTATTCGGCACGACATATATATATATATATATATATATATATATATATATATATATATATATATATATATATATATATATATATATATATATATTATATATGTGTGTGTGTGTGTGTGTGTGTGTGTGTGTGTGTGTGTGTGTGTGTGTGTGTGTGTGTGTGTGTGTGTGTGTGTGTGTGTGTGTGTGTGTGTGTGTGTGTATGTGTGTGTGTGTGTGTGTTTGTGTTTGTGTTTGTGTGTGTGTGTGTGTGTATGTGTGTGTGTTTGTGTTTGTGTTTGTGTGTGTGTGTGTGTGTGTGTGTGTGTGTGTGTGTGTGTGTGTGTGTGTGTGTGTGTGTGTGTGTGTGTTTGTGTTTGTGTTTGTGTGTGTGTGTGTGTAATACTTTCTCGTATTTAATTTAAACTTGATTGTCACACACTCGTAGAGTAAATACAAGTTTTTGTTAAGGTATTTTATCCGTATCTATTATTATTATTGTCTTTAATTATGGCCTCTGTTTAGACTATGCAGAAATTTCAGCAGAAATATAAAACTATTGTAAAATTTTAAAATTATCTTTGAAGCATAAATAAAAGCTTACTAACATTCTATTTGGAGGACGGGTTGGAGAGGCTACAAGTAGTAACAGACACAAGAGGTTTTCCAGAGTGTTGAAGCGTCTAGCAGCCATGTGGTGGGAGGAGAGGAACAAGAGAAGCCCAGAGACACAGAAGAGACCATCAGCTGTGTCATTACGTGAAGACAAATTGCTGGGATATCAACTTGAAGATGCCAGGTTTCAGAAAATCCATTACCAACACAACATTAGATGGAAACGATCCACTGACCAATCACAGCTCAGCGATGCCCTTCCGGCTCCACCCACCCTGCCTCAAGCTAATCATGTTGGGGCTTCAAGCTCTTCGGCACGAGGCTCCGCCCTCGGCGGTGCTGTGGGCGGGGCCTGGGAGCACAAGAATGTGGGTGGTCCGGGGGTGGCGATGTTCTTGGCTTCCTCAACCATGTTCTCAGAAAAGAACTGAATGATGGGACCTGAAATAGCGGTGTTCATTGCAGAAAAAATATTTTATTTCGTTGTTTCAAATCTTCAGCTGTACTTTTGATCAAATATATTTAAACTGTAGTCTACACTACATGCTCTCTGTAGGTAATCAGTAAATCGGAACACTGAAGATTATTGTCAAAAAGTGTTAAAGTTTCGTTAAAAAAAAAATAAAACTGTAGAAGTATATGATAGATGTAAAATTTTCTAGGTTGGGGCCCAGCCCGGCCAGTTTTACAGGCAGGCGAAACAAACAAGCGGATAATGATCGCGGCATTTTACAGAACATCCGCCATGCTCCGCCCTCAAGGGCCGCGCATGCGCCTTGGGAGGTCCGGGGCACTGCCAGGGCGTGCCCGAGGTGGTGGCCCGCTCACCTGGGCACGACCTGACCAGTGCCACCCCGACCTAGAGCGGATTGTGACCCCGGCCACAGCGTGAGACGTGTAGGGCAGCCATACACATACACACACACACATACAAACCTTCTTCAGTGTAGCCACAACTGCCACTTTACCCGTAAATATTTACTGACTTAACCACTTGTGAAGCCTAGGCTTCAGTGAGCAGCAGCGCTGGTGAGCCCGACGTGTCTGCCGCCAGCAGGACGGAGCACTACAGCCACGCCACCAATCCCACCATCACAACTCTCGCCTTCAGGAGTGTGGCGGGTACGGCCGAGTTCGGCGACCTGGCACTTTTGGCCAACGCTGTGGCCATGAAGGGAGAGGAAGAGGGCGGAGTGGCGGCCCTGGCACCACTGCTGCCTCCTGAAGAGGCACCGCCACCATCCATCACCGAGGTGCCCGCTGACGCCCCTCCAGGACTGGCTGCCCCCAACGCTAATAGTGACAAGACTTCCGGGGGCGGGAAGCGTGGGGGCGCCCGGCGGCAAGAGAAGCCGCCTTACTCCTACATCGCCCTCATCGTTATGGCTATCCAGAGCTCTCCACAACGGCGCCTCACCCTCTCTGAGATCTACCAATTCCTGCAGCAGCGATTTGCATTTTTCCGCGGCTCGTACACCGGCTGGAAGAACTCTGTGCGTCATAACCTCTCACTCAACGAATGTTTCATCAAACTTCCCAAGTCTATGGGCCGCCCTGGTAAGGGCCATTACTGGGCCATTGATCCCACGGCCGAGCTCATGTTCGAAGAGGGATCCTTCCGGCGGAGGCCTCGAGGCTTCCGAAGGAAGGTTCAGGCCATGAAGCCTTACCCGCTGTACCAGGGGGCGCCACCGCCGCTGCAGACGCCCTACGACGTATGTGGCACACAGCTGCCCCCAGCCACGCAGTATGGGCAGTATCCGTCATACCAGGACTATGCCAGCTACCCACAGCCACCTACGTCCTACGGGGGAAACATGTACACTGCTTCCTGCCTGCCCTCCTACAGCGGCGGCGGCGGTGTGGCAGAGTACCCACCCGCCTCTCCTGGGGTATATACAAGCATGTCCTCCGCCGCCCCTCTTCCGCCCATGGGAGCCCTCGGTGAGCGAGACATGTGGTCAGCTCTCACGCCCAACACCACACCCACCCTCACACCCACGGCTGCCTACGTCAAGCAGAGCAACAGCCCGACAGGTGAGTGACAGCCGACGGAACCCGACGGAGCACTGTCGTGCACACGCTCGGAGCTCCACCAGCCAAGCTTGCCTACTAAACATAACAAGTTGTATTTATTCACTTGAAAGCCTTTTAATTTCCATGTTCTTTTTTTATCGATGTAGTCTAAATAATGATTGGTAACTAATATTTCGTTAAGAAAACAATGGTGTATATACGTGAGGCGGAGCCACTTGCGCCCTTCTCCAGGGTGACGTTACTGTTTGTCCTCCTCTCACCTGGCTAATTAAACGATAAAAATACTGTTGAGAGTGGCGCTGTGAGCAGTGCTGTGCTCTGTGGTGATCAATGCTGTGCTCTGTGGTGATCAGTGCTGTGCTCTACTGGAATAGTCTTACCACACAACCAGCATTAGTGTCTTTTTCATTTTTTCTGGTTAATTGTCTTGCCCGCCCGCCCATTTATGCGCTCTACCCACACGATGAATCTGTCCACCCGCCCGTCTCCGCCGCCCGCTTGTCCATCCGCCTCCGTCCGCCTGCCATTCTGCTTGCCGGTCAGTGTGTCCGCCCGTCTACCTTCCGCCCACATATTTTTTCATCAGGTCTCCAATCAGTTTGTCAGTTCATCTATCTGCCCGCCTGTCTGTCTATCCTCCCATCCAGCGGAGATAAGCCACAGGTCCCGTCACGGCTTCACTTCTTGATACTGTTATCGAGGAAACAAGAGCGTCCAATAGTTATCACTGTCATAGACGCTAAGCAAACTTCCGGACAATTATTGTATGCTGGTTTGGCTTGGCGCGGCTCCCACACACACATATAACTGTCAGGCCACAATGGGGGATGGGGGGAGAGATGCCCTAAGCAGTTTTTGCCCCTGCCGTCGTGTCAAGACATTTCAACACATATTTTTCTTATCCGTATTAGAAAAATTGTTGGGTGATCGCGGCGACGACCCGGTGACATTTTTGCTGCAGGTTTTGTGTCGCTAGGCTGGCGCTTTGTGGACTCGCTGTGTTGTGTTAGTGTTGGGGGGGGGGGTTGAGGCACAGCTCCTGACACTGCCTCCTGACTTGGCTTGAGCAACATCTTACTGGACTTTAGCTTCTGAGGCTCTGTCATGACTGTTATTGATGGCGCGAAGAGAGGATGCCTTTTTCACCTCCTCGTATAACTTACTACCTTCTCTGTCCTCACACCTGTGACAATGTTTTCGTGTGCCTATGGCTCCTTGGGATTTTAATTTTCTGCTGCGGCCTTTTCTTACCTGGAGTATGCCTGGAGGGCGTTCCGGGGGTCAACGCCCCCGCGGCCCGGTCCATGACCAGGCCTCGCGGTGGATCATGGCCTGATCAACAAGGTTGTTACTTAAGTAAAAGGACACAAGTGCAACTAATGTGACATTTTATTGTGGCAACGTTTAGCTCTCCAGGAGCCGTTACAAAGCTCCTGGAGAGCGAAACGTTGCCACAATAAAATGTCACATTAGTTGCACTTATGTCCTTTTACTTAACATATTGTTGGTAGTTCTACCAATATTAACGCAGGTTGTTACTGCTGGCCGACGTGCGAACCACAGCCCCGATGGTCACCCACTGACTTCAGGTGCCTGTCCAGCTCCCTCTTGAAGACAGTCAGGGATCTATAGGTAATCCCCGTTATGAATGCTGGGAGGCATACATGAAGGGGATTTTGTATGTCTTGATCTTGTCCCCCCCTTTACCACTTGTCACATTAGTTGCAGTTGTGTCCTTTTGCCTAACATATTGTCGGTAATTGTCAACATTATTCCACATACTTTATTAAAGGTCGAGTCCACGATGGTGCTCCGTGTTCCGTCACGGACTTTACACACGTCGTTGAGTCCGCGATGGTGCTCCGTGTTCCGTGACGGACCTTACACACGTCGTTGATTCCACGATGGTGCTCCGTGTTCCGTGAGGGACCTTACACACGTCGTGGAGACTCAAATGATTCTTTGTTAAACCTCCTGAATTTTATTCTGAAATCTGCAAATCTGGAATATGTTGTAGGTGTTATTATGTGCTCCTGTGTTGATGTACTTGTCACGGCTGTGATCTCAAGGCTGTGTTGAAAATGGCTGTGGGACTGACCACCTCAAACTGTTTCTCCAAAGTTGATGGAATGATTAAGTCATATTTACTTGCCATTACTCCTGCTGTACACAATACATTTTCCTCTGTATTTGACTTATGAAGCTTAATGCGCAGGCGAAACGTTTCAACAACAAAGATACCCAAGCGTTTCGCACGTGTTTTAATAATCAACTACTCGGTAATTTATACTATTATCAACAAACTTACCAAAGGTTATTTGTTATTATTATCTTTGTTATTAGTTTTGTGTTGGAGAGGCGTGGCTGGAGTCCATGTTGTGTTGGAGAGGCCTGGCTGGAGTCCATGTTGTGTTGGAGAGGCCTGGCTGGAGTCCATGTTGTGTTGGAGAGGCCTGGCTGGAGTCCATGTTGGAGCAACTTTCTCCTCTTCCAGTCCTGAGTCCATGATTTTTACTTGAGTTCAGTTCTAAGAGTCATTTCTCTGATGGAGATCACACGAGCTGGGACGCACAAGAGATCACACTGGAGGTGGGACGCACAAGAGATCACACTGGAGGTGGGACGCACAAGAGATAACACTGGAGGTGGGACGCACAAGAGATAACACTGGAGGTGGGACGCACAAGAGATCACACTGGAGGTGGGACGCACAAGAGATAACACTGGAGGTGGACGCACAAGAGATAACACTGGAGGTGGGACGCACAAGAGATAACACTGGAGGTGGGACGCACAAGAGATAACACTGGAGGTGGGACGCACAAGAGATCACACTGGAGGTGGGACGCACAAGAGATCACACTGGAGGTGGGACGCACAAGAGATCACACTGGAGGTGGGACGCACAAGAGATAGCACTGGAGGTGGGACGCACAAGAGATAACACTGGAGGTGGGACGCACAAGAGATAACACTGGAGGTGGGACGCACAAGAGATAACACTGGAGGTGGGACGCACAAGAGATAACACTGGAGGTGGGACGCACAAGAGATAACACTGGAGGTGGGACGCACAAGAGATAACACTGGAGGTGGGACGCACAAGAGATAAAACTGGAGTTGGGACGCACAATAGATCACACTGGAACTGGGACGCACAATACATCACGCTGGAGCTGGGACGCACAAGAGATAATACAGGAGCTGGGACGCACAACACATAACACTGGAGCTGGGACGCATAATAGATCACACGAGCTGGGACGCACAATAGATCACGCGAGTTGGGACGCACAAGAGATCACACGAGCTGGGACGCACAAGAGATCACATGAGCTGGGACGCGCAAGAGATCACACTAGAGCTGGGACGCACAATAGATCACGCTGGAGCTGGGACGCACAATAGATCCCACTGGAGCTGGGACGCATAATAGATCCCACTGGAGCTGGGACGCATAATAGATCCCACTGGAGCTGGGACGCACAATAGTTCAGACTGGAGCTGGGACGCACAATAGTTCAGACTGGAGCTGGGACGCACAATAGTTCACACTAGAGCTGGGACGCACAATAGTTCAGACTGGAGCTGGGACGCACAATAGTTCACACTAGAGCTGGGACGCACAATAGTTCACACTAGAGCTGGGACGCGCAATAGTTCACAGGAGCTGGGACGCACAATAGATCACACTGGAGCTGGGACGAACAATAGTTCACACTAGAGCTGGGACGCACAATAGTTCACAGGAGCTGGGACGCACAATAGTTCACACTGGAGCAGGGACGCACAATAGATCACACTGGAGCTGGGACGCACAATAGTTCACACTAGAGCTGGGACGCACACTAGTTCACACGAGCTGGGACGCACAATAGTTCACACTGGAGCTGGGACGCACAATAGTTCACACTGGAGCAGGGACGCACAATAGATCACACTAGAGCTGGGACGCACAATAGATCACACTAGAGCTGGGACGCACAATAGTTCACACTGGAGCTGGGACGCACAATAGTTCACACTAGAGCTGGGACGCACAATAGTTCACACTGGAGCAGGGACGCACAATAGATCACACTAGAGCTGGGACGCACAATAGATCACACTAGAGCTGGGACGCACAATAGATCACACTAGAGCTGGGACGCACAATAGTTCACACTGGAGCTGGGACGCACAATATATCCCACTGGATGTGGGACGCACAATAGTTCACACTGGAGCTGGGACGCACAATAGTTCACACTGGAGCTGGGACGCACAATAGTTCACACTGGAGCTGGGACGCACAATAATTCTCACTGGAGCTGGGACGCACAATAGATCCCACTGGAGCTGGGACGCACAATAGATCCCACTGGAGCTGGGACGCACAATAGTTCACACTGGAGCTGGGACGCACAATAGTTCACACTAGAGCTGGGACGCACAATAGATCACACTAGAGCTGGGACGCACAATAGTTCACACTGGAGCTGGGACGCGCAATAGTTCACACTGGAGCTGGGACGCGCAATAGTTCACACTGGAGCTGGGACGCACAATAGTTCACACTGGAGCTGGGACGTACAATAGTTCACACTGGAGCTGGGACGCACAATAGATCACACTGGAGCTGGGACGCACAATAGATCACACTAGAGCTGTTACGCACAATAGTTCACACTGGAGCTGGGACGCACAACAGATCACACTAGAGCTGGGACGCACAATAGATCACACTAGAGCTGTTACGCACAATAGATCACACTGGAGCTGGGACGCACAATAGATCACACTAGAGCTGTTACGCACAATAGTTCACACTGGAGCTGGGACGCCCAATATATCACACTAGAGCTGGGACGCACAATAGATCACACTAAAGCTGGGACGCACAATAGTTCACACTGGAGCTGAGACGCACAATAATTCACACTGGAGCTGGGACGTACAATAGTTCACACTAGAGCTGGGACGCACAATAGATCACACTAAAGCTGGGACGCACAATAGTT